ATTGAAGATATTTTAATTTTAACTAAATTTAATAAGTTTAGTTTTTATTTGGTTGTATAGGTGTTTATATATATTTTGATCAAAGTTTGGATGTTTTTATTTAACGTTAATACAGTAGAAGTTTTAAATTTTGCAAAATTTTAAAACTAATTTTGATTAATTCACTACCCTGAATTAAAATATTAGAGGTTAAAGTTAGAATTAGTTTAATGCATGTACAGTATATACACAGTATACATACTGTATAATGAAATTAAATTTTTATTATACAAAACCCTGTGATTTAACTAATAAATTTTTTGTTAAATTTAATTAAACAAATTCACAACAATTTCCTATGCAAATTTCATCTATTTTATTAGGCCTTGGAGAATAACATTAAAATTCACCAATAGTAATTTGCTATTTCCCCATGGTAAATCATGTGATCGCTTTCTAAATCTTATCCTAACTCTAATTCGGCAATGGAGCTAATGTTACTAGTTTCTTGAGCTCCATTGGTTTCATTGCTAACCTAGCTCTAATTCTAATTCTGGGGATCGTCTAAAGCGGAGCATAATCACGTGATTTAAGACCAATCAAATTATGGAATTTTGACGATCGCCGACAGTCGTACATATTAATAAAATTTTACAGTATAACTCGCTTTTTCGAAGATCTTTTTTTTTGTCAATTTCGTCCCTTTTCTCAGCACCTAGCCCAAAAATATATTATAAGAATCCGCTCCGCTTTAGAAGTCCCCTAATTCTGGCAACAGAGTTACATAAATTACCACGCGTCGACATAAAAACGCTAATATACAGTAGCTTAATAAAATTTTGTTAATTGATTGTAAAATTTTTAGAATACATCTAACAAACCGTTATCCTGAATAATTTATATAAAAATCTACTTATAAAAAGAATCATTTTCATAAAATAAAATCATGTGATTTTTGATTTTGCTAGAGAAGTGTACAACAATTCGTAGTTTATATTTTATTAGCATAATTTGCTGTATATTTTTGATTGGACGATTATTGTAGCAATGTAAATAAGTTTTCTAAGCGCACGCATATGGCTAGTGCCGGAGGTGCACTTAAAGAAATTTGAATGTATTAGACTTTAATTTACATCATTCATATGTATATATATGTATTTAGTGAATTAAAGTTACGTGAATAATTATAGGTATTCTATTTTTTTTAATCATACAATAGTTAAAATTTTAAAATTTTCAAACAAAACAAAAATAGTATAAATAATAATAATAATCAAATCTATTTTATCACGTAAGATAAACTTGCAAAATAAAATCTTTTTTTGCATATTATTCAAATTTATCATATCCTCGTTCAAAATCTCGCCAGCGACCATCCCGCGCTTGCGGCATTAAGCAACTCCTCCAGAATATACCAAATAATAATGCCAAAAATACCAGAGAGAGTAATGGGTGATAAACAAATGAGTTCTATTACAAAAAATAAATAATAAATAAATAAATTTTATTTAATAAAATGAAATTGAGCATTTTTTAAAAAAATAAGGTAATAATTACCTGTATTTCAGAGCCTATTGAAAATATACCCTAATTAAGTAAGAACAAGAGTTAGAACACAAGAATAAAATAATTAAAAGTCAAAAAACATTTGGAAACACATCAAATTACTCTAAACATCTTTTCCGCAAATCCAATTGTACTCTTTCCTTCAAGATGTCCGAGTTTTGCGTCGTTAATAGATTCAAGCAATCGTGCTTGATGGCTAAATGTGAATTTGTCACCGCTTTTTGAAGAATCATAATATTCACCAGACTTTTTTTTTCAAATAAATTTGTAAATATTATTGTAAATATTATTGTAAATAATTAATGTAAATAATTATTGTAAATATTATTGTAAATATAATTATGATTTTAATTAATTTAAAGGAATATAAACTTACCGAAGGATCAAAAATTATCACGGTTGGTAAATCCTTCTTACTTAATCCATAGATACTATAAATATAGTTTTCCCATTTATCACCATCCAACCACGCAAATATTACACCACGATTATCTTCAGAACCACGTTTTTTAGTTTGTTGATGATAAAGTTTTGCCACAGCTTTTAAAGTAGTTTTAGCTTTAATGAAAGGCCTAACATCAGCAGGTCTCACAACACCTAAAACCACCAATCTATCACCGGCCAGTATATCTTCATAATTTTCGGAATCTATGGCAGGTACTAATGGATATTTTTCAGATTGAGCCCAATTTTTTAAAGACACAAGGTCGTCAAATGGATCGGTAAAATCTGAGGAAGAGTAACTATTTTGAAGATCATCTTTTATAACAATTAATGAAGGAAGAGTATAAACTTTCAAAGAGGTGGCAAGTTTGGGATCCTTGCTAGAATAGAATTTAACCGAAAAGAAAGAACGAGATAATCCTTTCATAATATTCTGATAAAGAAAGAAAATAAATAAATATAAATATAAATATATATATATATATATATAAATTCATAGGATATTAAAAAAAAAATAATCATAACAATAATAAATAATGCTTACTAAATTTTTGGAAGGAGATTTTTCATCATAAAGATAAATAAAGAATACATCATCGATCTTTTTGGCTTTATCAAAATCAGCCAAGGTTATATCTACCAAACGGGCAGATGCAGCTTGCTCAGCGAATTCTTGAAGACTTTGCAATTGCCTTGATCCTTTGTAATCAGTGACATCATCAGCACCATTTAAACTGTAAAAATTTAATTGGTTATGGAAATATAATATAAATATAACATGTAATAACATATAATAGTATATAAAAACATATAATAACATATAATAACATGATGTTAATTAAATGTGAGGATACAGTTTCAAAGTTGGGTATCCTTGAATTTTAAATTTAGAGCAAATTTCTTTAAAAAATTTAACAAAAAAATTTTAGTCAATATTAATAAAATAAAATTAGTACAACATATACAACATATATAACATATGCAACATAAATAATAATTACCTTTCTCAGTGGTACAATCCACTTTTCCAACATTAACTTTATTTTGTAATTTATGACCCAATTCTTCCCAAGTTGGAGCCAAATTTTTACAATGGCCACACCAAGGGGCAAAAAATTTCACAAACCAAGGACCAGATTTTGTCAAATCATCGAAATTTGTACTAGTCAAAGATATAACAGAGCCGGATGGATTTGGTGGTATGAAGTCTTCCTCAGGCAAATCTAACTCTTCAGGTGTATTCATATTATTATCAGAAGGTTTAGGTTCATATTCCTCCTCAGATTTAGTTTTTGCATATTCTAACAAAGAGTTAAAATCTCTGGCTCGAAGATAACCATCTATTTTAACACCATTTTTATATCTACAATAGGACCAGTTTAATAAAGAAGTGTTTAACGCAATATAATAGATATAATAGATTATAATAGACTATAATAGACGGACAATCTTACAAGTTCAGTGTTGGATAACCTTCTACACCTTGCAATTCGCACAAATCTAGAGTTTTTAACAAAATCAATTAACATATAATATATGGGAACTGATACATGGGAACTGATATATGTGAACTGATAAATGGGAGCTGGTATATGGGAACTGATATATGGGAACTGATATTACGAATAGATCACGATAATATATAAAGTTATTAATTTACCTCCATACAATGTACAGTCAACTTTAGCTAAGTGAAAATCCTTTGATGCAAAAGAATCACCATGTTCAGCAGCCAATTTTGACCATATTGGCTCTACAAATAAAAAATGTATAAGACTTTCAAACCGATTTAACATAATCTACCGGTCAATTATTTAGAAATTCTGTTACCCAGAACCTGACAATGAGGGCACCATGGTGCAAAGAACTCAACAAACCTTTTATTAAAAAAGAAAACTTAATTTAACTTTAAAACAGATATATAAATATACACAAAACAAACACCTACCAGTTTCCTTTAGAAATAGTTTGAGCAAAAGTAGAGGTTTCTAACGATATTACTTCAGAGCCCAAAACTCTTGTAATAAGTACTATAAAGATCGTTGCAAATAAGCTTAAAATTTTCATGGTTTATTGATATCAAACACACTATTGCCACTCGAAACAAAGGAAAAGTATTTACGAAACAACTGGAGACTTATATATCTGGGAGAAGGTTAATTAAACACGTGATTAAATATTTGTTAGACATGTTACAGTTAAATTACTTGTTCATAACGATAGACTAACGTTACACTGGCGTCGTTAACTGATATACGCATAGTTTAAAATGTTTTAAAATGTAAAATAAGCTTTGTAATTTTACCTTTTTCTGTCAAGGTATAATTTTGTGAACTTTTTTCCTCACATGGTTTGATCAGTACGTACGACCTTGCAGATTTTAGAATTAATTTCATTGTACGTACGTACGTACGGACAGTATATACTCGCTCATTTTAAACAGTATATTTCATAGATTTATATTAATTAACACGTATTTTTTAATCTTTGATTCGAGTGTATAAATTCATTGATTTCGTATTTTAGAGAATTATAAGTCTCTCTACTTTGCACTCTTTGCACTCTTTACTCTCTGCTCCGGTCAGGACATAGTAATCTTGTAAAGTACCACTTATTATTTTTACGATTATTTTATTATTATCTTTACGAACTATTATTTTCTTACGCGAATGATCATGATCCAGGCCCTTTCCAATCATAATAATTATTTAATATTTCCTTTTTTGATATTCCTTTTTTTGATGCCATTTTATTTTTTACGTATCATCCCTTATATTTATCAGCTTCTATGTACAGTATAACGATAATATTTAAACATTCGATCTAGATTATGTTATCATTATTAATAAATAATCATAACGATAAGAATTATAAGAATTGAGGGGTTAAAAATGGTTCATGTAATTTCGGATAATTTATTTCATTACGATTGGTTTAGAAAAATCTTTACCTGAAACGTGCAATTTATTTAAAAAAATTTATTTATTCATTTTGTTACATCTTAATTAACAAATATATATTATTTTATCTAACAACTGTCGATTTTCTGCATTTTCATTTTAATACGTTGTGAAGTTTAAGTAGTCAGAAAATCGTACTATCTTTTAACCTTTTCCAGCGGTCAAAAATTAACGTAAATATAATAAGGAAAGCGCAGGATTGTAATTAACGTTTTTAAGAGAATCTATGGAACATAAATACGTACGTACGTATTAAAAGGATTTTATTTTCCATTTTTGTATGTGTTTAAACAATGTACGTACGTATGGATCTGTTACAAGCTGTAGTAGAGACGATAACAATATGTAATAGCTTTACGTAATCTGCTGGCTTAGATAGATGATCAAAACCCATGGCTAAGCGACTAACTGAGCCATGTCTACGTACGTACCTGGATTGATTGTCTGTAAACATTTCGATTAGGTTAGTTATTACTTTTGATAAACTCTGTCTTTGGTATAAAAATCTTGTGCCGTAAAAGAATTTACATTTAGAAATCTAATAACGTGAAAAATTGGCCAATGATTTATATTTTCAGACTTAAGTCCGGAATTCTGTCTGCTCTCAAATGTTACTACATACGTATCGTTTAATAATGTTAATTAATGTTAGTCGCTTTAGCAGTAACTTACAGTAACTTACAGTAACTTACAGTAACTGTGCTGAGAATTGCATCTATCTACTGTATATTCTATATCTATATTATTATAAAAATTGGATTGTTGCACAAAATCGGGCATTGTATATTTGTGTACCATTTGTGCATACGAGGGGTTTAATACATTTTTTATCTGGGATTACTTCGGATTTTCAAATTTATCACCGATTATTTTGCCAGATTTGAGATTTATAAAAGGCTGAATCCGACAAAAAAATAAATGATAAAATTAGAGCCTAAACCCTTATTTTTCCTTTGTTAGCACTTATACGGCTCTTGCGTATTCATGTAAAAGGTAACATATTTGTATATGATGTTTATTTCTTACCATATAGCCCGTCGTTTAACGACGGGCTCTAATACTAGTTATATATATATAATTTTAAAATGTTTGAGGTGCATTTTTCTTAGGACTATGTTAGCATTCATGGTTAGAGTCGTTAATATTAGTAGGCTTATATCATCCAATCTCAGCTGTGACAATTACGGCACATTACAAATCCATTAATTGCGGATTTTTTGATGGTACAGTACACAAATTCAATCTAGCGATGCGATTGGTTGGTGATCGCATGATAGATGTATGTCAATATTGTTAATTTGGATCGAAACAATTATTTGATCAAAATTAGATATCTGCTTATTTTAAAATATTTTAAAGCACAGGTTCTTTAAAATGAAGCATTATTAAATTGCACAAATTTATGACAATAATTGAACCCGTTAAAATTAATATTAAAAAATTTATTTATCACAAAATTCTTTACATTAATTGTGACTTTAAATTTTATATTTTATCATCAACTTTATCAATATTTAATTCTTTAAGAATGTAATTAAAAACTTGTTTTAACTTAAAATAATTCATATCTTCTAGATGCTGAATAATTTTATTTCGTAAATCAGTATTTGTTTGTGAACCAAGTTTTGTTCTTGCAATTTTAATTGAAATTTTCGTTTAGATGAAAGATTTAATTTTGGTTTATGAATGCCTATTCTATTATAATAAATATAATAAAAAATTAATATGTATTTAATAATACGTATAAAATTAGATATATAAACTTATTAATCCATCATTTATAACTTGACCTTTTTTTATTTATTACAGTAATATAATAGAAACAAAGTTACTGAAGAAATTTTTATATTAAAAATCCCAATTTATACGTACGGAAAAAAAAATTGCAGTATTTTATGATTTTATATGGTAAAATATAAAATTGATCTACATTTTACAAAAATTTATCTAATGTGCGCGCCGTAATAATTTACGCAATTATAGCCAGAGTTCGGTTCAGTAGAGAGAGAGGTCACTTTAATTAAAAACTCTGCAGTAGAGAGAGAGGTCACTTAATTAAAAACTCTGAAAACACGAGCTTTATTCTTTTTGCCATTACTAAAAAAAAACAAACTAAATGATTCTCAGCATCAGGGCTAAGCAGAACAGATTACTTATAATTCTGGTCAAATTTGCAGATCGTTTGGCCAAGTTCAGAGTTTTTTGACCCCGAATTTGGCCAAATGATCACAATCAAAATTAGCCCTTATCGTTATGGTTAATTATGGTTCGTAGTGTTAGTAGGGTTTAAAATTACATTTTACAAACTTACGTAAGTTTCAGTAGCATGGATGGATTTCATGTAAATTTCACACGTGATATATATCAGATATAGAGTACCAGAACTATGAAAAACAACCAATCATATGAGCGTATGATACGTTTCTTACAAAACTACACAGTATGTTAGTGAAACTTACGCAAAATTACACAAAATTACGTAAAATTACGGTAATTTTACAACCCCTAAGTGTTAGCTCTCTATTTTTAAAAAAACAATTTTTAATACGTACAAGATAAATCAACGTGGATAACGAAACTGTTTACTTTTAAAATGAAATCGATTGAGAAATTAAATACAGTAGCTTAAATACATTGATAAATGATTGTTATACTACGTAACAAAAATTTAATAACTCAATTGGTAAATGATCGTTAGACTAAGGCCGTTCTCAAACGCTTACCTCAGTGAGGTTACCGAACGGTTTGATTGGTCGAAAAAATTGAGCTGCGACTACGTACCAACTTTATTTCATAGAGCTGCACTAATTGGTTAAAATTTATCATTGATAGAGTAGTCAAAGAGATTGCTCAAGCTCAAATACTCTTTTATTATTTATTTCGTAACATGGATCCTCAACAAGACCGTCGTCGTTACCAAAAAATTATTATCCTACTCTTCATGCTAAAAACTCTTTAACAAATGAAAAACGTTCAATAAAAAATTCATTTTTTATATACATGTATTATACACATATTTTATTAAAATAACATTCATGTTTCATTATATTTCGATGTCACTTTGTTTAACGTTAAAGAATCCATATAAAGTTACGTTGGCGAATATGGCTGTTATTGCAATAATAAGTTTTGTTAAGAGGACGAATGCTGAGGCAAAGTTTCAAACGCCAAAGTCTTGGGTGCTAAATTATTAAATAGCTGGGTAATCGCCTTTTTTTTTCTTGGAGTCATAATGGAAATCGATTGAAAGTGATAGCTCAAGCATCGATCGCAATCTTTATTTCAATTGATCGTAGCGTTTAAATGTCGCTTCGATCACTATTAATTACATTGAGGGAGGTGCTATGTAAAAAAAATTAAATGAGAGGTAAATATCTCTATGTGCAAACTAAATAAACTGAAAATAAGAAAATATAATTTGAATAGCTCAAATACTTTGATATGGCTGTTTGTGCCGTAGCGTTAACTTGAGTAATAATAATCCTTGAAATAGTGATCGGAGAATTAACTTTACAACCCCGGTTACCACTGCCAATTCCGTCAAATTATACGCATATAATCGGCCGGTACTCTGAAAATCATTGTTCACCATAAAAATCATGTTAATTACATGTTTGCAAAAATTATTGTTTATATTTTTTATAGGGATGGATCAGTCCTGAAAAGACCGAATAAGGACTGATCTTTTTAACCAGTCTTATGGTTAACTGTCCTCGGTTCTAAGACCAGTCTGGACCGGTCTTCAAGAATAATTCAAATAACTAATTAAAAAATATGTTACATAATCTTTTATTTTCAATTATCGACGTCATATGATTTGATTTTCTCCGCTAGCCAATAAGATTAAATAATTAAGGACCGTTATTGGGACTGAAAACCGGTCTTTTAAGGACCGGACTTGTCCATCCCTAATTTTTTATCGCGGTGTATCGCAACTTAGTTGTCGCGTCGCGTGATATCGGGGCTTCGATATTCAAACTCCGCTTATGATTAGTAATATAAATTACCTATATATTAACTATAGATTACTAATCATAGCGGAGTTTGAATATTGAAACCCGATATAACATGAAGCGACAATTAAGTTTCAGGATTTTGATTTTCGGAATTTTGATTTGACTTAGACCCGGAGTACACTATAGCGATAAATTATAAAGCCCTTTTTTTCGAAGTTTAAATGTTTATAGCGCTTTGCAAAAAGATGTGGCCACATGACTTTTGTGATAATGATCGGAGAAAATTCCTGAAATTTAGATTGTCTATTACATTAAATTTTCGAACGGTTACATTTATATTTCTTTGAAATCGGTAAAATTCTTAAAATCTATAGAACCTCCAATTCTTACGCGGCAATGTGATCTGCAGAAGCACCATCTTTTTGCAAAGGGCAATAACTGCAAAATTTTAAATCTACTTAGAATCTACATAGAATTTATATAGAATCTATATAGAATCTATGCCGAGTCTATGTAGAATCTATATCGATATAGAATCTACAAATTTAATGATAATTTGGTTGATCAGCGTCCATTTAGCTTATTAACGTTAAGACCAAAGCTGATTATTTAAAATAGGTTACACGGCGCCCGGACATGGTCCACATTATCCAAATTATCCAACAACAACAACACTTGGCTTTTTGCAATGATCGACGTTATTTAAATGATATACTGTTTTTAGTACCACAGAAAACGCAGAAAATGAATGTACGTACCACAGAAATGTTGTAATGTTCTTTCGTGCTACGTGAATTATACAAAGCAGTTTTTAAATTCACTTTCCTGTTCTAAAATTCAAATCATAATATATACCTTTATTTTGTTTCCTTCCTTTTAGTTAATCTTATAAAATATTTCTTATTTTTATTATTTAAAATGGAATCAAAATTAATAAATTTAACTTCAATATCCCAAAAAGCATTACAAGCTGGTGAAAAATTATGTCATAAAGCTGATAATCTTGTAAAAGAATGTAGAAATGACGTTGAGAACATTGAAATTATATATCCAAAACTTCGCTTCTTATGGGGTGAATTAGGTGTACAAGTTCAGGTATGCTTTCTTTGACCTATTATTAGCCCAATCTCTTTACAGACCACATACATATACTTAGTTGAATTATATTAATCTTATTAATCTTGGTGTTTTTTCTCCTTAGTCGGTTCAAAAACTTAAAAAAATCGCCGAAAAACAAAATGGAATTTTACATGAATTTTATTCGGTACAAAATATTTCAAGATTCGCTCTAATCTTTTAATTAATTTTATCTGATTCGTTTATATTTTTTTTTCAGAATAAAGAACAAGAATTATCCATTATAATCGATAAGCTTGATAATACTCTAGAAAGTTTACGACATAAACGTGTGGATCCTATTATTCGAGAAAATGCTATCGCAATAGAACGAGCAATGGCTCGTGAAAATAATAGTAATTTTTTAGGTGATTTGGAAAAGGATGTAGAATTTGATCTAAAAAGAAAAGATTTTGAAGAAAAAGTTTATTTATTTGATTACGTACAAGAACAAAGTGTTCAAGATTTGAAATCAAAAACACAAGAAGAAGTATCTGCTATTCAGGTAAATGTTATCATATAATTTTATGATATATTTGTTAATGAATCATTTATTAATTATCAGTTTTATTTGATTTTATTTTTGTTCAGCAATATTATATAACTAGTTCTAAAATCCTTGAAAATGTCAACACTCAACAGAAACAATTAGATGAAATGCTTTTAAATAATAATATCTCTCTTGAAAAATCTGGAATAGATTTTGCTCGTGAAAAATTTATAGCTCTTGAACAAGAGGCAACTACTATGGCTGAGACATTAGTTTCATTGGCAAGAAATTATGATCAAGTTTCTTCTGCATTGAAGTTAGTTATATTTTAAAAGGCTATAATCTTTTTTTCTATTATAATTCTTTGGTGATATTTTTTATATTTGTATAATAGAGCATGTAAATCGCATGCTGAGGCTAGCTTAAATCTCGATATTTCGGGTAAATTTTGTACATTCGTATACTTTAATTATACTGTGTATATAAGTTCTATATATATAGATATATATATATTGAATTATGAGTTTTACTTCTAGTTCTTGAAAATGACACTGGCCTACTTCCATCAATCATCCAAGTATTGCAGGAAGGACTTCAATATATTGAATCATTAAGGTATGACATCTTATATATAATTCTTTATTTGCTCGGATTTGATCCAATTTTAAAATTTTTAGTGAAGAAGTGCGCGTTATAAATCATATTTATCGTGCATCGTATGACGAAGCAAATAAATTATTTTCTGAGTTGGATGGTTTTGGAAGTAGTTTTGAGAATATTTCAAACACAATCAAAGAACTTGAAGTATGTTTATCGTGAAGGAAAAGGATCATTAATAAAATAAGATTACTGTATTGGCAACGACTAATTATTTTGTTTTGATTTTTATAGGCCGACTTTGAAAAAGGCTCTGTAATAGTGGATCGTTTACTAGATGAATTATTAAACCTTAACATGTGGTAAGTATTATTATATAGCTTCTATGTAAGCATATGAATAATAAACTTATTTTATAGGTATGAAGAATTTTCCAGGGCATATGATCACATGATAGTGGAAATTGACCGACGTCATAAAGTTAAAGAACAACATGAAAAATTGATAGAAGATTATTCAAACAAATTAGAAGGATTATACCTTGGTTTGTTTTCGAAACTTTGTTGGCATTTATATTTTACGAATTGTTAATTGAATTGTTATTTATGGATTTAGAGGAAACTCAACAAAGAGATTTATTCTTTCAAAACCATGGAAGATATCTTCCATCAGACTTATGTCCACCAATTCAGGTATTAGTCTATGTTAGGCTTTATTGCATTCGTAATAATTATTCATTAATAATTTATATTATTGATCAAATTTAATGTGATTTTTTTACTATATTGATTGGGTTATTATTAGGAACCTCCCATTAGATATGAGATTTTCACTCCAGATGACACAAAATTACCTACATTATCCTATAGAGCATTATCGGAGGTAATATATTCTATTTAAAAAATATACATTTTTTTTTTTAGTTTTTCAAATTATTACGTGTTTAATTGATGGTTAATACGTATAGGCCCAGGAGAACTTGTTAAAATATAAAAGAAGTTCATGATAGTATATTTTACTTAGTGATAAATTAACTATATAATATTTTCTTTTAATATTTATAATTTGTTTATCATATATATATGATTTACTTCTTTATACAGTGTACATTAATTGTATTAGATTAATTGTAAATTAAATTTGAACATTATTTTCAAGATAAAGAATTACTTTTTTTTAACAAAGTTTATTTAAAAAAAATTAAAAATATAGTGTGTAGTGTTCAATTATAATTATTTAAAAATAAAATAATTTAAATTTTTTTAAATATTTTTTGTATTAAAATTATTAGTATTTATTTGTTTATACCGTAGTACAAGGTAGTAAAATATATTTACTATATATTTATTAATTAAGTTTTTAATTAATAAATATTTGTTTGCCTATTATATTAATTTAAGATAACGTTTTGCTTTTATTTTTATTTAATAATCATATCGATATGCTCCAATTTTGGAATAAATTAGGGCTATCATTTTTTTTAAACTGTAAGATCAAATAACTTTTAATTTTGAAGTTTTTTTAAAATAATTTTATTGCCATTGTGTTCACTTTAAGACAATTCTAACCATCCAAATCCAATCACTGTATCACGAGGTAATGCGTAGTCAAGTAAGAACACACTATATATTCATACAATTGGTTAAAACTAGGTCTAACCAATTATATGACATATAGTGTGTTCTTACTTGACTATGCATTATCTCGTGATATTGTGATTAGATTTGGATGATTTTGGGTTAGATTTGTCTTAAAGTAAACACAATGGCAATAAAATTATTTTAAAAAACTTCAAGATTGAAAGTTATTTGATCTTAAAGTTTAAAAAAATGCTAACTCTAATTTTATTTCAAAAATCAACATATTTATAAAAAAATTTTTAAAAAATTTTTTTAAATAAAATTAATTACATATTTTTTACAAAAATAAAGCTTAAATATCAATAAAAATTATTTACTTTATTAAAATAATTAAAAAATTATTATATTTAATTGATAGTAATTTTAAAGTACTGCTATCTTGGTTTTTGCTATTTGCACCATTAGTTTGACCAGAATTAGGGTTAGTTTCAGCCAAATTAATGGTGTAAATAGCAAAAATCATGGTGCAAATAGCAATTCCCTAATTTTATTGCCTCTAATTTTATTAAAATTTAAAATTCGAGTACAGTTTAGAAAAAACATAGAGTTAGATATAAAGATTTAAATTTTAATTAGAATTAAATTTTTAAAAGTTTTAAATTTTTAGTTTAATACTTCAAATATAAGTTAACTAGTAAAATTTTAATATACAGTCAACCCCCTCTATAGTTACCTCCTCTATAGTCACAAATTTTGTATAATTATAAATTTACTTTTACCAATTATTTATAACTATATAGAAAATACCTCTATATTAGTCACACCTCTT